ATGTGAGTTTTGATATTGGTAATTCTACTTTTGATCCTCCTTATATATATAGTGGAGGAAACCACCCTGGGCAAAATTGTCAAAATATTCCCGAGAGTGAGTTATGTGCACCAACTCAATCTTATGTGTGGAATGTGTGTGATATGTATGGTGGTCAAGATGGTCACTTTCATGGTTGTGCTTATATTTCTTATGTTCCCCCAACCCCTTACTTTGATGGTTCTTCTTTTTCTTGTGAAGTTAATAGAAACAAAGAACCCAGGAATGATAACCTGAAAGAGATCAGGAATATGCAAAAGTGCCTTGATATGTTAAAGTGCCTTGTGGAACAAAATAGTAAAAGACAGCTGCAGATAGAAAGGCAAGAGAAAACTATTCACAACTTGAAAGTTCAAGTGAATCAACTGGTTGAAGATCTTAATGCTCAACAAGTCAATATTGTGAATAGTATCCAAGAAAAGCGTGAATTAAATGCAGAAATTGAGGTAACAATAGAGGAGTCCATAGTAGAACACCAACAATCAATCAAACTAGAATTTGAGGATGCCGATGTTGTAGAAAAGATACTAGAGTCAAGCAAGGACATTGATGATACATATTTAGTTGACTCTAGTGTCATTAGTGTTGAGGATGTAGACAGTCCCAATGTTCATGTAGTTGAACGCATTGGTCCACACTCCAAGCATTTTTCCACATTGTGTTTGGATGATGATATAGAAATAGAGTCATCCGAGCCACTTGAGGAGTCAAGGAATGAGGATCAAAGCGCCTACATTCTGAAATGCTTCTTGCCAGAAAGTCGGGAATACACATCTCATCTAAAGGCCAAGAAGTGCAGAATACTACATTATTTTATTGGGCCAGTCAGATTCATTCCACCACCCCATGAGCATGATCATAGAGTAGAATCAAAACTTGGGGTCCAATTCATATGTTCAAAGTGGAGGCAGAAAGTGATTCGTGTCGTGCCACGACGTTAAATCAAGTGCTTGTTGGGAGAAAACCCAGTTTTACTTCTTTATTTTATTTATTATTTTTATTTATTATTTTTGTAGTGTCGATTTTTTCTTTTCTAGGAGCATGGAAAGCAAAGCTATTAGAAGGATGCAACAGCAAACCAGATGGTTGGAACTAAGTGTGAGATACCCGCACGAAGGACCAAGCCTGGGAGAAGTCTGAGTACCCCATGAGTTGCTAGTGCTTCGGCCTTTAGCCTACCATGGAGTCTCTTTTACCCTCTTATTAGTTATGGTGTGCATTGGGGACAATGCACAATTTTAAGTGTGGGGTGAGGAGATTGTCTAGGTGACTTTCTATGCTATTTTAATTGTGTTAGTTTAATTGAATTTTTTTTAGAGAACAGAAATAGAAAAGATTGGACTTTTCCTGATGATGGATCTATTAGACAATTTTCTTGAGGGATTTAAGTCAAAAGGAAAAAGACAAAAAGATTTTCTTTTGTTAGGTAGTGTAGCAATCCCCCCTTGGTTTTTCTTTGTACCGCGGTTCTTTTCCAAGGGTTTTGTTTGAACCAGGTGTAGTTAGTTTTATTTATTTTTAGGAATAGGAACCATTGTGCCATGAATTGAATTGAAGAAATATCTCTTAGCTTTGTTATGCCTTGAGAATAGTTAGTAATATGGTTGTGACGCTTAGGCTCGGTTTTTGACTCTCGCATAAGTACCTTAAATCATAGTATCCTAATTTTACTTAACTTCTTTGACTGGAGTATCGCGATGAAACCAATCCTGAGTGAGTTATGTGCCATGCGTGTGTGAATTTTGTATGTATTCTATGCATTGCATTTGATGTCTAGAACTTGCCCAGTGTGTTTGCAAAGCGAAATAGTAGTATTATTCAGTCTAGGAAGTGATATAGGCGTTTTTTTGTTAAGCCAGATATATAATGTTTACCCACCTAAATGTTATGTACCGTAGTTAACCCCGTTGAGCCTATAATCTTGTTTCTTTGGTAACCACATTACAAATCGTACCCCTTTGTTTTAATCGACCATATATTTGAACCTTTTCGCCTCTCATGAGCACTTGAATTATTATGAACTTTATAAAAGTTAAAGTGTTGGGTAGTTGGTTTGGCTTTGGTGTGAAACTAATGAAATAAGGAGAAAGGTGCATTGTTTTGAAAAAATAAGAGCCACTTGAATTGAAAAAGAAAGAAAAGAAAAATTAGCTATATTGTTGTGAAAACTATTCCTTGATAGTGGTGACTCTTGATGTAATTGTGCTAAAAGAAATATGGAGTTAATATATATTGAGGTGAAGGCGGAGTTATGGTTTGACATAAGTATGGGCTTGAGTGTTAAAGTATATGTATTAAAGTGCTTAAGGGAGGTGTAGTCACTCATATCCAAATGTATCCTACCCGACCCGCAACCTACATTACAACCAATGAAAGTCCTACTTGATCTTAGACTGAATGAACTCGATTAGTAAAGTATTACACTACGGGCAAGCCTATGGTGCATCATTTGTGGCATATGAATGTTATTTCTGGGAGCGAGTGAATTTTGTCTATCTTGAGTTCCTATGTTCTTAAAATTCATTGTGTGTGGAACTAAGCTCTTTGATTGGGTGAGGGCACATGATTCATGAAAGAAAGGTAATATTGTTGACATCCATGTTGGAGTAAGTAAGTGAATTGTGAATAAGGCATGGTATTTGTGAGTCGAATCTTGAGGCGAGGATATCACACTTATGTGCTTAAACTATTTTAAAAATTCTTGGTGTAATGAGTTAGGAGAATTGCTTAAAAAAGCCGTATCTATAAGTGTAGTTTGATTGCTCGAGGACGAGCAATGTTTAAGTGTGGGGTATTGATGTGTGGCTATAATTCCATAGTTTCGTACATTATGTGCCTTGTATTTTACATGCTTTAATGATAAATTACACTTTATTTATGCATAATGGAGTCTATTTTATGTGTAGGTGAATTGGAGATGAAAGTATAGCAAAAGGGATACTTAAATGTTGAAAGTGTGCTCGAGAACAGTGAAAAAGAGAGACCAGGCTTTAGCCTGGCGAGGCCAGCCAAATTCCAGGCGTTAGGCTGGCGANGCGTTAGGTTGGCGACGCCAGGCCTAACGCCAGGTCCAATCCGAGTTTTGAAGACTTAATTCATTCCGGGTTTGACTAGGACCCGGCCCACACGTTTAGGGTTTCTTCTACACATATAAATAGACCTAAAATACCACTTGGAAGGGGGTTCTATCAGCAGCCATGTTTTGGGGGGGTTTTGGAGCAGCCAAAGGTTTTGTGGGCAGCTAGAGGCAAGAAGAGCTGGTGGAATCACCCCTTGGAGTTAGAATCATTATTTCTACATCTTTTCATCTTTACTCTCTATTTTAATTATGCAAAATATTTGG